TTGGTGAGGTGTCGTGAGCGCGCTACCTTGAGAGACGACAATCTTCCCGGAAGCATCTGGAAGGAGAAAGGGCGGTGCCACTGAAGGGCCCTGGTCGAAGCACTTGGGTCACGGTCACCATGCCAACCCACAGGGAGTAGTGCACGCATGCGATGGCTGCTGTCCTGTTTGGCACTTGCTGCGCTGATAGAAGTTCCTCCGGGTGTGCCAGCCCATGACAGATGCTTACCAGACCGTCTATAAATATTTCTGGTTGGGAGTTCATTGTGAATCTGACTGTGATCGTCGTCCTGACTGCGACGTTAAATAATTCCTGAAGAGATGGGGGCGCTCTATAAATCCCTCCTGATCAGCCAGATCACATGGACAGGAAGGCTCGTCGCCGTACGAGGGTAAATAAGAGTGGTTGGGCTGGCTTGCTCGGTGACAACTTGGGCACAGGGGTGGGCCGATTCACACACTAAGACACTGCTCGCTCAATGATGCTATTCGGTATGTTGGATGGAGGGGAGGGGAGGTTCTAATTGGTGCTCAACTGTATACACAACCATACCCATCAATCATACATCTGCTACGTTGTCTTTTTGTACCTTTGATTAGTTGGTTGACGGACTGCTAACCTCACAAACAGAATTAGTGTAGAACTGTAGTATGCTACCATAGCCAGTTCTAACTAATGCTGCTGTAAGTGAACCATTCAGGGTGCATCTAGACAATGTAGACAATCTGTGTGAATGTTGTAGACATGCCACTTGGTTCGGTATAGTAGGATACTCGTCGGACACAACTATTGTTAGAAAATTAGGTGCCGGTCAGATACATGCTGTCGTAGGATTCCACTAGGGGATTCTAGTGCAGAAACTACCTGCCTAACTAATGAGTGGATCAGATCCTGTTGATGATAGAGTTGACAATAGGAGACTTACACGTTTGGAAGCATTAAGGGTTCCGCACGTGTTCAGGACCTTGGACGAGGGAGAAGAAAGACGACTTCGTGCCGAACGTAGAGCCCGTGCTCTAGCAGCAGGACTACAAGAAGCAAACAGAGTAGCAAGAGAGCGGGCAACAGCAGCCAGAGCAGCAGCAATGGTTAATGGTACCAGCTCTGCTGCGTCATCGTCTGCGTCCTCGTCAGGGACTAGTGGGCCTCGGTTGGGAATGCCACTGAGTTCCACGAGTTCCTCGGGCACTTCCGGTTCAACAGGGTCTAGACAGTCTTCTAGTCAAATGGCGGGCTCGCAGTTCAGCCCGTTGACCCCACGTGAGAGGGAGCTCAGAGAAATCCAGCAGGTCGAAAGGCTCCGCTAGCAGTTAGAGGAGGATCTGAAGAAAGCAACCGATAGAGAAAAAGAGATAAAAAGTAGAGCAGCCAGACTTGATACGTTAGAGGCTGACAAGGCTGCGTTAGAGGGATTGGACGAATCGAGTTTGTCTAACACCCTGAAAGTGTTGAGGGACAACATCTTGTCACTGCATGCGCACGTAGACAGCAGGATGGACTTCATGCAAAGCACTTTGGACCAGATCTTGGATGCATTGACAAAGCCAGGATTCAGGCCACCAGCACAATCGCCGTTGCCGTTAACGGCGATGTCAGGTCCCTTTGCCGTACAAGTTGGCACACAACCAAGTGGCACGTCTGCAGCAGCAGCACAGACTGTTGCATCTTCTTCTTCGGGTCCAGCGGTGGTTGCTAC